GAGATTTTAATGCTCATAGCACGTTATGGGACAATTGTAATGATGGGAATGGAATAGTGATTGAAGAATTAATGGAGATTAAGGATTTAGTATGTTTAAATGATGGAAGGGGAACAAGGATTAATGTAAGAACAGGAACAGAAGCAGCTATTGATCTTACACTTGTTTCAAATTCACTGGCGGGTATATGCTTATGGGAGGTGTTTAGAGAAACGACTATAGGGAGTGATCATTATCCTATAGTGATTGAAGTAAATTTATGTGTAGAAGAGTGTAATACAGGAGGAGTAGACAAATGGTTTTTTGAAAATGCAGATTGGGAGGCATTTAGGAGTATTAGTGAACAAGAAATGGAAAAAATTGAAGTTAAAGAAGGGGTTGATAAGGTTAATAATGATATTTGTAATGTTATATTGTTAGCAGCAAGGCAGACTATTGCAAAGAAGAGAGGTAAGAAAAAAAAGAAGATTGTACCATGGTGGACAAAAGAATGTGATCAAGAAATTAAATCTCGAAATAAAGCTTTTAAAATGTTAAAAAAGAATCATAGTTTTCAGAATTTTATTGAATATAAAAGGAAGCAAGCAAATGTAAGGAGAATCATCAAATATACAAAAAAAGAGTTTTGGAGGAAATTTTGTAACACAGTGGGAAGGGAAACAGAAATAGGTCAAGTATGGGGAATGATAAAAAGAATGAATGGGATAAAAAGAGAGTTTGGGTATCCAATTTTAAGGGATGGAGATACAACAGCTGTAAAAGATGAAGAGAAAGCAGAAATGTTGGCGAAAAATTTTGTTAAAATACATAAATCAGACAATATTAGTGAGGAGGGAAAAAGAGGAAGGGAAAGGACGTTGGAGCAGTATAAAGAGATAATACAGAATGAGGAATACAATAATGATCAACTAAATATGACATTTACGAAGTCAGAGTTAAATCGAGCTCTTAGAAAAACCAGGAAATCAGCTCCAGGTAGAGGGGTTTAGAGAAACGACTATAGGGAGTGATTATTATCCTATAGCGGTTGAAGTAAATTTAAGTATAGTAGAATGTAATACAGGAAGAGTAGACAAGTGTTTTTTTTGAAAATGCAGACTGGGAGGCATTTAGGAGTATT